ACTGCGCTCCCAAGCGGCGCACTGTAGCAGTGCGCCACCGGGCCGGCCCTATAGTAGTTATTTTAAAGCTGTTTATTAACTCCAACAACTGTGCCATCTTTGGGTCTTCTATTTGATTATATTAATTCATGTTGATGGGTCATATTTTCCTGCTTCTGTGCATGTCATGTAATTTCTAAAATTGTATGTACGCCANGGATCGCAACCCTCGGCGTTGCTCCCGCGCCTCGCTCAGCCAGTGAGCGGCCAGTCTGTATGTGGGATCCGAATCCTCGGCGGGAGCGCCACTGCGCTCTCAAGCGGCGCACTGTAGCAGTGCGCCACCGGGCCGGCCCTATAGTAGTTATTTTAAAGCTATTTATTAACTCCAACAACTGTGCCATCTTTGGGTCTTCTATTTGATTATATTAATTCATGTTTATGGGTCATATTTTCCTGCTTCTGTGCATGTCATGTAATTTCTAAAATTGTATGTACGCCAGAAATTGTATTTAAAAGAGCTGTAGAGACTAGAATAATTATCATTTTTCCTTCAGGGACAGCATACCCTTTCCTCTGTTAGGCAGTTGGACTGGCTGTTAATATACCTCTGCAAGCCAAGACAGCAAAGTATTCTTATTTGTTGTGATGCAAGGAAAGTTTTGGAACTTCAAATTAATCACTTATTGGATGACAGTGCGGTTACAGAGATTGATAATATAACCTAAGATAGTTTTTAAGAAGAGAGTAGAATTACTGAGAACAAACTCAGTTAATCTCTGAAAATAAGCATACTTATGAGTATACCATAAACCTTCTACCTTAAAAAATTCTAGAAACACAAGAGCACATATGCACATCTTTTGTTAGCTGCCAGAACAATGATGCCATCATATGTCATGTAGATTCCAGAAAATTACATTGTACACTTGTGAGAGAGGGAGATTTAAAAAGGCAAATGATGTTTTATTATTATTACAAGAATAGTTTTGATTTTCTGAACCACCCGAAAAAGGACCTCCTGACAACTGCTGGGGTACACTAATAGACAAGCACAGTGATCAGCCAGAGGTGTTTATTGATAGAGCTCAGGGATCCACTGGGGTAAGACTCAGCATAGCTTCATCTCCATTTTCATGGCTTCAGGCTTCAAAGCACTTAAAATGGCCGTGGCTTTTCTTTTGGCTGATACTTGGGCTTCACACAGCACATCTTACTATTTGTGCAGTACACGTAGACCTTTTCCTTCCTGGTGCATCTATGGCGGCATTGGCCATGAAGATTCCAGCATTTCTGGGTGCCACCTGACACAAAGCAGAAAGAAGGGAGACAGTGTCAGCCCTAAGAAGAGTTAGACTTTTGATTTGAAATGTCTGCAACAGAATTAACACAGATGCGCTAGAGTGTCTCCAGTTTCCCTTGCCTTTGACCCTTTCCACCTAAAACTATTTTTCCTTTACCCCAGCAAAGGAAAAGTATTTTTTTGCTGTCTAATCTGCCCACAAATCTAGACTAAGCAACATACCAGAATGCTATCTTTGAAAGTATGCTGCCCCTAAAAGAACTGCTCTGACAGTCATTGGAATAGGATTGCACCAGTAATCCTGAGCAAGAGGCATGACAAATGAAAATAATGTCCAACCATTCCAACCACAAATTTTTCAGCAACGAAGACAAAACCTGCTGCCTGAACAAACCAAAGAACACGTACTCCTCTTTTCTCCATAAAAACTCCAATCCTGCTTTGACTGAGAGTTGCGGTAGTGTACATCAGCTCAGTAAAGCCTTTGACCTCTATTTGAGTCACATAAGCTGCTTTCTTTTGACAGGTCTGACAAAGGCCAAAACAGGGAAAGGTGGGGGTGGGGGTGAGGGTAGGTGGGTGGGGGCATGGGAATGGAAGGCTTTATAGGAGTGATATAGACTCACATCTTCTCTAAACACCCAATCCCAATCCTTGCTCTCCATCGATGTTTCCTCTCAGAGAATCAATGGTGCGTAATGGTTAAGGACATTGTAGTGGATTGAATTATGTCCCCCAGAACTCATTGAAACTTGAATTGTGTCCCCCAAGTTTTATGTATTAGAAACTTGGCCCCCATTGTGACTGTTAAGAGGGTGGGAAATCCTATTATGGTAATTGAAAGGTGGAGCCTTAAAGAGGAGATTGGATTGTAGGAGCGTGCAGTAGTGAATGGATTAAAACTGGTGGTCAGGGGCGTGGTTCTGAGGGCTTTAAAAGAAGAGGAGAGTCTGTCTTTCACTCTCTCTGCTCTCTCTGCTTCCACCATCTTACAATGTGAGACACCTGGGTCACTGTCACCACCACTAGACAGACTTTGGACTTCCCAGCCTCAGAAACTGTTAGCAATAAATTTCATTTTTCTTTATATCACACAGTCTCAGATATTCTGTCATAGCAACACAAAAGGACTAATACAGACATGGACTGTTGAAACTCCAAAAGCCTGGATTTGAAACCTGGTTCCACCACATGTGAGCTAGGAGATCCTGAGCAAGTTACTCTTCTTCACAGAGCTTCATTTTTTCTCTTTTGAAAAGAAGGTATAATAGCACCTATTTCAGAGAGTTTTTGTGGATACTAAATAAAATAACATAAAATTTACTGGCATTAAAAAATTCAGAAATGAGGTGACAGAAAGAATTAGGAATAAAAAAAAAAATCTTTTCAAGAAAATGTCTAACCTGGAAAGAACACAAAAGCAAATCATCTCAACAGATAATATTTAAAGAGAGATAAAAAATGAAAAGAGGAAAATGTAAAAATTGAAAAAAAAAGGGGGGGCTTCATCAGGCTGAAATGGAGTGACAAGGATCTGTATTTGCCCTACTGCTTTAAACAATAAGACAGTTGGACAAAATGCATATGAAACAAGTTTTCAAATACTGGGCCACATGTAGCACAAGACCATGATTCTTGAGAGAAGGGAAACATCAAGATGAGTCCTTTGATTGCACCATTTTGCTGCCTAAAATCAGTTTCTGGGTTGTAGTGCAAGGAAGAGGAATCCAAACAGAGCCTAGTGGTCTTATGGAGTGGAAGAGATAGAGATTGAGGTTCAAAGAGGCCAACTCAACAAGAATTTGTGGGTCAGTTTCAGAGAGGAGGAAGCTACAGAAAGAGACAGAGCAAGAAAGAGAGAGGGAGCAATGTGGAAATCTGCAGGGGGTACCCCTCCAGTCCTTGAGAACTTATCTGTGCATGTGTGAGAAGAAACTCCCAAAGGCCTGAGAAAGAACTACCAAAAAGAAGTAGGCAAGACAATTCCCAGTGATTGCATAGGCTGGGAATAGCTTGTGTTCTCACCTGCCTGAGTGGACATAATGGTAAACTTTGCAGCATTCAGTACTTAGAAGGCTATTGCCTTAGCAGTGGAGCTAAATTAGCCCTAGACTAAAGGTTGCCCTGTACCTATCCTAAACCAGCTTAAAAGTCAGTCTTGAAACTATTCATCTGATGCCAACTAACCTAAAGTGCATGCCAAAACAGAATACAATTCTCTTTAAAGGAATACAACAAAATACAGAAACCAAAAGTGTAAAACCTACAGTGCATAGCATCCAAATAATTTTCCAGGCATCTAACCAAAAGCGGGACAATATGGCCCATAACTAAGAGAAAGGAAATCAACTGACCCAGACATGACAAAGATGATGGAACTACCAGACAAGGATTATAAAACAGCTATTATAACTATGTTCCACATACTCAGAAAGGTAGAGGAAAACACAAGCATGATGAGAAAAAATAAAGACGTAAAAAAATATTCACATAGTAATACTTGAGATGACACATTAAATATTAAATGAAAAACCTACTTAGTGAGATTATCATAAGATTAGACTAACGAAAAAAAAAGATAAACTTGAAGACATAGCAACAGAAACTATACAAAATGAAACATGGAGAGAAAAAAGACTGGGAAAAAAAATAGAATAGAGCATTGGTCACCCATAGGTTAATAACAAGCTGTCTAACATACATATAATTGGAGTACAAATAGGAGAGGAGAGGGAATTGACAGGAAAAGTATTTGAAGAAATAATGTCTGAAAAATGTCTGAAAACTTTAAACCCACAGAACCAAGCACCTCAGTGAACTCCAAGCTGAATAAAACTTAGAGGGAACCATGCAAAGTCATATTAAGATCAAACTGCTGAAAATCATGTTTAAGAAAAAAATCTTAAAACAACGAGAAGACACATTAAGTACGTAGGGAAAAGGGTAGAAAAATAGAAGACTCTTGACAGAAACTGCATACTAGAAGACAGTGGAGAGAGATCTTGAAAGTACTGAAAGGAAAATAATCCAAAATTATTTACACAGACAAAATCCTCTAAAAATGGAGAAATAAAGACTTTTTCAGATATTCAAAAATTCAGAAAATTTATCACTTAAAGCTTTCACACAAAAAATGTTATATGTTTATTGATTCGGGCAGAAGAAAAATGGTAGTAGATGAAAATCTGGTCATCTACGTAAAGGAATAAATAGCCAAAATTGATAAATACATGGGTAAATGTGAATAACTTTTGTTCTGACTTAAAACTTTCTTTTAAAGATCATTATTTAAAGTAAAGTAACAGCCACACATTGTGGGGTTCATATCATGCATAGACATGAAATGCTTGACCACAGCACAGAGGCTGGGAGAGGGGAAATGCAAGTGTGCTGTTTTACGGTTCTTATACAACATGTGAATTAGCATATTATTATTTGAAGGCAGACCGTGATAAGGTAAAGATGTATATTGTAAGCCTTAGAGCTAATTCCAGATCTGGCATAGAGCTTGTACAAGATGAGCCTAGAATGCCTTGTCACACTAGATAGCTAGTGTGAATCCATGCAACTCCTTTTGTTAACTAACAAAAGGACAAGGTGCTGAGAAACCCTCTTTTATCGAATTGCAACTTTCAGAAACTTTGTATTTGAAATCATATCAGCAAGAATAAAACATTACATTCTTCCCAGGGGAACCGAGTTTTTCAATACAGAAAAGCAACCTTGATTTCAGGGTCAAGTGCAGAGCATCAGACAAGAAGTTTTGGGATACAAATTCCACTTCTCTCTTAATTTTGTACTTTCCATGGAAATGGGACGCTGAATACATTTCTCAGCCAAGGCTTGATGTTAACCCCTTTACGCACTGCCCTATGGCCCTGCCTTGCCTTGAAGTCTACCAAACACTGCTTCATTTACACTGTACCTAAACCCTTTCCTTCTCCTTAATCCTGTAATAATCCTATTTGTTTCTTTGGTGAGAGTCTTCCACGCCACTCCCGCCCCAGGTCCTTTGGTGTGCAGTTTCTTTGCTACAGCAAATTAAAATATCTAACTTTGTCAGACTGCAGGTGGCCTTTATAAGATGAACTTGATCACAAGGCAACTATTAGAGACTACCAGGGTTATGTAAAATAAGGCTCAGGAGTAACATTAAAGAGGCTCTTCTTAGCCAAGAATGGGATAATTTGAGTTTCAGTAAGAATAAAGATTATAATGAATAAAAATTCATCAAATTTACTTAAATCCATGAGTTTACAATGATAACAAAACTATTTTGTCACATTTGGGAGATGATAGGAAAATAACTCATTATTTTGCAGATTCATAAATAAAGAAAAATCACCAAGCATTTATTCTGTCTTTCCTATATGAACTGTACTGCTGAGTAACCAAATAGCAGACAATGAGGAGTGTCTTTTTTATTTTTATTTTATTTTATTTTTTTTAATAAAAGATGACCGGTAAGGGGATCTCAACCCTTGACTTGGTGTTGTCAGGACCACGCTCAGCCAGTGAGCTAACCGGCCATCCCTATATGGGATCCGAACCCGTGGCCTTGGTGTTATCAGCACCACACTCTCCCAAGTGAGCCACGGGCCAGCCCAGGAGTGTCTTTTTTAGATGAGTGTTCCAGCTAACTAGCGAAAATCCATAATAGAACATTACTATTTCAGAAGGTCCAAAGAATTAATAGACCTGAGCTTTGAGCATCCTTGATTGCTATTCACCAAAAGAGAGACAACCAGAGATTATGTGCTTCCTGATGAAAGAACATATCACCACCAAAAGTCTTGCCAAAAAGGGTAAAACTGAGCCTGATCAAACCTCTGGATCCAGGTGCCAATTTGCAGGAAATACAGAGGCTGGAGGAATATGCTGAATTTCATCTTGAGTATGCAACCAGCAAAATCCATGCTGTGGGAAGTTACAGGTCAAATGACATGTTTTTCAACAGATAAGTTGTAAAGACAAGAAAGGGATAATGATGAAACCAGTAAA